GAAAAATCGTGGTGTCATTGGTGAGCTGGCAGTTTATTATTTGGCTTAGCTCGTTGACATTTGGGAAGAAGCACAAATTCTTTCTTTTTTCTAGGTGACAAGGTTCTGCTAGCTGTGAATGGGTTAAAAAAACGCGGTTGGATTGTAGGTTGTCGAATGCCGTCTCGCAACGGTTGGCCACGATTTGAATCGAATAATGTGGTGTTAATTGATGATGATGGAAATCCTCTGGGCTCGAGAATCCTTGTTCCTATTCCCTCCAAGTTGCGCTCATTGCAGTCCACTAAAGACATTACGAAAATCTTGTCAATTGCCACTACCTTCGTGTAGACGTGATGCTTATAATTCCCACTGTGTCTTACATTTTTTTCTGCATGCATAGCATTACCGGAATTGCGTTGTGTTGATTTCTCTGTCCCGGTGTGTTCAGCTGCTAACGTATTCTAGCGGTTCACCTTGTAACGTTATTTTTTGAGGTGACTGCTCAGTTAGTGTCTTTCTCTATTTGTCTATCCATGTGGCCTGCGTTCCTCGGCATTGCTCCATCTTTGGGTGGACAGTGGTGTTAACGAGTCCCCTTAGCAAGATAGACAGTGTTGACCTGAGTCTTTGTGGTACCACAGCATCCTTTACGTTTCAGCTTTACCAATAAGTATGTAATAAGGGAATTGGATTCTCACGTTGCCTGAAATCGACGCAGAATATATGTTTACTTTTATCCTTAGACATCCTTTATGGGATCACATATCCTCACCATTTTAAATACAAACGCGGAATTGGCGTGAGCACGCTCTTGTCCAACTTCGTGCTTCAGCGCATCGTTATGTTATTTAGACCATTACCAAACGTCAAAAGTTTTTTTCCCTTTAACCGTTACATGTAACCCATTCCTGACTATCACTTTGTTCAGAGGTTGCATTGGTATTGCTCTTTTTTAGTCGAGTGTTAAGTTCCTGTATTCAAATTGTGCGCACAAAAAGTTGGTGGAAAAATTTTAGTAAACTACTTTCACACAAATGTAAAACTTTCAGCGAAAAAAAGAAAATTCGTTTTTGTGAGGTCTAAAAAGACGAAATGGGGAACACTGAGCAAAATACAAGGCAGCAAAAGTAGAGTACAGATGCCATTGGCAACATGTCGGATGTTGACACGTTGTGCAAGGATTGAGTCCTCCCCAAACTTTCAGATCTTTGCTTACTAAAAATCAGGTGGTGGGAAAGAATTTAGTCAAAGCAACCATGGCTGGATTCCTTTTTTTGTTACGAATTTTGTAATCATCATGGCCGTACATAGTTGGCTCGTTGAAGTTAGGGATTCCAAGTTTAAAAGCAACCATTCCAAGGTAAACATCCTCTGGAGCGTAATTATAACGGGTGTAAGCTGTTGCAATCGCCACGTCGGCAACAATATCGGGCCCAACTAGATGGGCGAATCCTCTCAAGTAAGGGTACATCACATCCCATGGAAACTCACGGTAGGAGAGGTACAGCTTCTTCCAAGGCGATCGATAAGCGCGGTCCGTCTTCGCCACTTTTCCAAAAAGGGAATTGCGTCTGATGTAAACCGGGATTCGGTCTATGAAGTCAGCCACCATGGAGAGATTTACTCTATGATCATCATCGATGGTCATGAAGAGTTTGACATCTTCCTTTCGACAAAATGCTGACATCCAACGGTAATTGGTGACAGTTTTCCAGGTGAGATTGTAGTAGGTGTCCTCGTAGTCTGCTAATACGATATCGTCATACTTTCTGATTTCCTCGTTAATGATGGCCATTACTTCAGCTGCTCGACCATCATATATGTCTAGCATGTTCCCAGCGGGTCCCGGTAGGTAAATGGTGTGACCATCACGATCAAACACTCTTTTGCCGTGTCTTCTGGGTAGACCCAAGCTGAAAATCACACCAACTTTAAGCTGCTTGTTTCGCATGATCTCATGACGCATATACTCGCGAAAAGATGATCTTGCATCCCAGGCTAGGACTGAACTCTTGACAACAATAACAAGGTCGTACTTTTCACCCTCCTTTTGGCATATAGATTTGGGTGTGCTAAGTATTGTAATTGGGAAATTGTAATTCGGCATCTGAAATCGAGTGAAGGTTACGTCAAATTACTTAAATTACTTTCAATATATAACCACATTATACCCCCAAATACAGTTTATGCTTCACAACTAGTTTATTTCATCCCTCAAATGTCAACAGAATGACGAGAATATACTGTTGTTGTGCCACAAAGCGCTATCCAATCGTAAATGGTAGAATGGAACGCCAATTAATAATGTGCTACTAGTTTTATGGACCTCACCTACACTTCTTTTGCAAGTACGATTCAGTGTGATGCCAAGAAATATAATAAAACCTGATTCCTTCTTCCAGATTTTTCTGTTGAACTTATTTTCTCACTTATTCGTCAGTCATTGTTAATGCTGTCCGCTAACAATAGAGGATGCATCACAAATTAACTAACCTCGGGTACACGATAACCTCCTTTAA